CAGCAGGAGCAATTTGGATCGTGCTTTGCTGACTTTTTTTTTTGCCTTCCTCTGGATCAACTGTGGGAAGGGGCAGAATGACCATTCCAACACTCGGGCACTGCCCGAGGGCCCAGGGTCAGTAGGGGGCCCCATGAGATGCCCCTGGTATGTTTCATTGGCTTTTTCATAGGCTTTTTTGGGTGTGGACAAGGACACGGGGGCCCTATGATCCCCTATTGCCCGGGGGCTCCATGAGTTGTCAGTCCACCCTTGACTGTGGGTATAAGATTATAACTTTTTTTTTTTTTCTATGATTGAATTGGATGGACTTTTGTCTTTCTTCAGCCAGACTAACTATGTAACTATGTCTGCTGGTGGAGGAGTCCTCTTTACGTTAGCATGGGTGTGCTCAACCTTCAAAAGAAGATATTTGTAATCCAGGAGAGGAATTACACTAACAAAGTATCCTAGGGTAACTGAAGATAGAATTCAGCAGCGCAGCTTCAGTACCCACAAGGGTGGACAAAGGCCTCTCATCTCTCAAATACCTGTCAGATGCTATCCTGACACCAGTCTGTAGTCTAATAACTGCTTCAGCAGACCAGATGGATGCAACACAGGCGACAAGATCCCAGCTGGGTAATGATGATGACAGTACAGATCACTCTGTCCCAAGATGACTAAGCAAATGTTCCAAAGGCCAGGTGCACAGCACTTTGGTGCACTCCTACCAAGCCTGCACCTTTCTTCTAGGTCTCCCTGTGTATCTCTATCTCTCCAGTGCTGCCTTCTTCAGCTTATTCTGCTTCCCCTTCCTGTCTTCCATGGGCTAGACCAAGTCTGGATGCCAATAGAGCCAGTCATGATCCTCCAGTCTGTTTGCACATCCCACAGGCGTGTCCATCATTAGCAGGAAGAGAAGGATTAACTGCAATATGGCTGTAGAACCTGGACTGCACAGCTTAAAGAGGTCACCGGCCAAGGTTACACTTGGCTTCCGGCCATGTACATGTCCCCTCTAAATGTTACGAAGCGGTGAATGAAAAATGTAGTGTCTAGACCTCTGAATTAGTCAGTAAGCCCAAAGGCAGATGAGATAGTAATGGCCCTGAAGTGCAAAGCGGTCTACTGTGATCTGCGAAAACATTATTCAGAAGCAGAGAACATCAGATTTGTCATTATTGTTATGAAGGTTTCAGTTAGGCATGGAAAAGACATTGAAAAGATCCCCCAATACAATGGGTTTATCTCTGCTTTCTTTGAGAACATACAAAAAATGTCAACTATTCTGCACAGGCTACAAAGTTGTGTTCTGTTTTACTGTAATAATTAACCTTAATGTGCCTTGCCCAATATCATTTACATTTACATAAGCCCTTGGCTGAAAACAAAACTTGCCCAAGCAAGTCAGTACAGGATAAGGTATTTATGTGCTACAACATGCTCATAATAAATCTGAGATGGAGCAATAACATGTGGGCATTGGGCAGAAACTGATAGTGATGCAAAATGCATTTTGTATTACTTGATCTGCAGTTTTTTGCTTTTGTATTTGATTCCGAAGGTTGTGTGGATGCACTCAAATCTCACACTGTATGTGTTCGTGTATGTGAATCAGCGGATGGTCGTGGGCATCAATGGTAAAGGGAAATGTATGTGACCCAAAGTATACTGTCAATTCTGACCCGTTGCTGCTGATTAAATCTTTTGATAAACTCCAGTGTTGTTTTTTTGTGTGACATTGACAATCCAGAAATCACTGTACAGCATTTCACAAGGTGCAAACATCATTGTCTTTTTTGGTGACACAGATGTTCTTAGAACAAAGTATTTGTCTACACATATTATGACTGATATATACATGATTCATTATCATTATCATTATTTACATGTTAAACATGTAAATAATAATAGTACCTTTTTATAAAAAAAAAAATAAATTTTCTACACTGTCTTAAATACCTCAATATCACAGGTCACATTTGGTTTAGCAGCTGATCTCTAATTGTCACCAGCTCAAGTGAGTTCTCCATACAAACATACATACCATGGACAAACTATTTGAGGTCATACAATGTATTCTTTTTTCCTTTGTAGCTAACCTGTCAGATTTTATGGACTATTCACTTGTTTTATGACACCAAAAGCTTGACTGCCAAGGTCCTACTATGGGCAGGGTAATTCCTTCCCCCATCTAGGAGTCCTGAAAATGACTTCGCCTCTAGGCAAATATGAAAGAACTGTTTGAAGATCGGATCATGTCACCAATTTCCTTTCTGTCAGCCAGCATGGCCAGACATTGAAGGAGAGAAAAAACAATGGTAGAAAATAGAAAGCAGATGTTTAATTTGGGCTTCTAAGGGTTTTCATACGTATCCCAATTAACCTAATGATATAAGCAAACTCTTGCATTGCCTATGACTGTCATGAACTGGAGCAGTAGAGAGCACTGGAACACTAAGTATCACACACAAATCTCTTCCAGAATGTTTGAAAATATCTGAGTAGTTGTTTGCCAGAAAGGGAACAAACCTTTAACCATGCTGGATTAGTTGGTTAGATGATTGTTGTGGATCTGTTGATGCAAGCAGGTGACCATTGTTCTCTGAGACATATCATCTGGATCATACGAGTAACACCTCAGCTTTTTCTGTTTTTTTTTATTATAATTTTTTTAAAAGTGTTACTAAACCCACAACAGTAAAATCAGTCTGTATATGCAGCAAAGCATGCTTGTTATACTCACTGTGTAACCTAACTTAATCCTCTGTATTGTGTAAAAACACTGTTTGATCCTGAGTTCTCTGATCCTCCCCTTCCTCCAGTGTGCCCCTCTTAACTCCCGATAAGACAGATCGTGTGGAGACAATCTGCACATGCTCAATTTGATCTGTATTGATAGAGAGGTTTTTTATTTTTCTTGGGAGGGTGCATGTGATCAGCACAGGGCCAATCAACAGTGTCTGGACAGATTGTCAGGGGTCCTGCATCCTCCTATAGCAAAATGAAAACTCTTTCTACAAGCTTTAACATGTGCTCTGCTGGACACTGATGGAAGTCACGAGACTGCTCTAACTGCTGATGAGAAAAGGTATTTAACAGTTTATATTTACTAAAATAATTTCTTTTCCATGTTCTGTGTACTGCAGGAGATCAGAAGTGAATGCAGGGGCCTGGGTTTAGTAATACTTTAATATGTCATCAACACTGTAATATGTGCGGTCTTCAAAACAGTTGTTAAGGACAAGAAAAATCTGGTTGGTGAAAAAATTTAACCATGTAACCTCTATTAACTGATGCCAAATTTTGCATTTTGTAGTAAATTAGAGCTCAGCTCCAGTAAAAACCATTTTACTTAGCCCTTAGCCTGTCTTCTCTGATCCTTCCCTTCTTCCACAGTTCCCAATCCATCTGCTGATATAACAGAGCCTTGGGGGCAAGCTGCACATGCTCAGTTGGGTGTATATTGCTAGAGAGGTTTTTTTTTCCTCAGGAGAGTGCATGTGATCAACACAGGGCCAATCAGTGCTGTCCAGACAGAGGTCAGGGGCTATGCAGCCTCATAGGACAATCAGAGGAGAATGAAAACTCCTCCTATGAGCTTTAACCAGTGCTCTGCTGGACACTGATAGAAGTCACAAGACTGCTCTAACTGCTGATGAGCAAAGGTATTTAGCAGTTTATATTTATTAAAATAATTGCATTTCCATGTTGTGTGTACTGTGGGAGACCATATATAGTGAATGCAGGGTCCTGGGTTTAGTAACACTTTAATCTTCAATAGTGCAGAGAAGGCTTAGAGCCTCTGTTGATATCCTGTCACCTCCTCTCAGGACAGAAAAATCTTTCAAATGTGGACACATCACAGAAAGAGAAAATGTCCCCAATGGGGTCACAAGCTGAAATGAAAACCTAGCAAAATATTTAATTGTTGCATTTAAAATGAATAAAAAGGAGCTTAAACATTAGGCCCCCTTGTACACGGGACACATCTGACTGATGGAAACTGACTGCTGGAAAATGTAGGTTAACCATGAGCCTACAGGGCACTTAGGGCTCGTTCACATTTGACTGTTTTACCAACTCTTGCCAAACGCCCCTATAGCGTTTGGCAAGCGTTGGTCCGGCGTTTGCGGAGCGTTTTTTAACGCTCGGCAAACGCTCCGCAAACGCTGCATGTGCGGTTCAGCGGCAGTTGCTAGGCGTTTGCCGAGAGTTACAAACGCCCCACAAACGCCTATAATGAAGTTTGGATGGTGTTACCGCTCCGCAAACGCCACGAAACCGCATCGCAAAACCGCACCACAAATGCTGGCCGGGCGTTTGCGCAGCGGTACCATAGACTAGAATAGGAGGCTTCAGCGCCTTCTGACTCGACCAGAGGCGTCCGTTTTTCCGCGACGCTAACGCTCCCGTTAGAACAGCACTATGTGCTGCAATGTGCAGAATTGTCCAAGGCATTTGGGAAGCGGTAAAAACGTTTCCCAAACGCCTTTCTGCCGCCTGCACACAACGCTAGTGTGAACGTAGCCTTATACCCCCTTCCTGCCCATGCCAATTTCCAGCTTTCAGCGCTGTTGCACTTTGAATGACAAATGCGCAATCATGCAACACTGGACCCATATGACATTTTTATAATTTTTTTGTGACAGAGCTTTCTTTTGGTGGTATTTAATCACCTCGGGGTTTTTTAATTTTTCTTAAACAAACCAAAGACCACTGAAAATTAAAAAAAAAAAAACCAAAACGTTTTTTCTTAGTTTTTGTTATAAAATTTTGTAAATAAGTGATTTTTCTCCTTCACTGATGTGCACTAATGAGTCTGTAGTGATGGGCACTGATAGGCTGCACTGATGGACACTGATAGGTGGCACTGATGGGCACTGATGAGGAGGCACTGGTAGGTGGCACTGATGGGCATTGACAGGCATCACTGATGGGCACTGAAAGGCAGCACTCATATATGGCACTGATAGGCGGCACTGACTGGCACTGTTAGGTGGCACTGATAGGCAGCACTGACGGGCACTGATAGCCGGCACTGATGCACACTGATAGGCGGCACTGACTGGCACTGATAAGCGGCACTGACTGGCACTGATAGGTGGCACTGACTGGCACTGATGGGTGACACTGAAAGGCAGCTCAGATGGGCACTGATATGTGGCATTGATGTGGCACTGATGGGCACTGGCAGGTGGCATGGATTAGCACTGAGAGCTGGCACTGATGGACACTGACAGGTGGCGCTGCTGGGACTACACAGATCATCAGGGCACACTGATCATCAGTGCCCTGATGATCAGTGTACATGTCTCCACTGAAGAATGCCGATTACCGGCTCTCTTCTCCTCACGAGCTGTCAGAGTGACAGCTCGTGGGGAGAGAAATGCCAATAATCGGGATTTCCCTGTTTACATGTGATCAGCTGTGATTGGACACAGCTGATCAAATAACTGAGCCGACATCTTCGGCTCTTTCCGTGGGACACAGCGCACTGTTGATCACTGCGCTGCGTGCTCCGGGAGCCGCGCATGCGCAGTTAGAATTGGAGGACGTCATATGATGTCCTCCCAGAACCAGAGAACCACCCAGAGAACCACCTTGCGTCTGTCATATTACTATATGGCGGGCGGGAGGCAGTTAAAAAACGTCTGTTTAGCTGCATGTTTTTTTTAAAGATAAGCACAGGAGAACCTCCCAAATGCCCAGAATGCACTGAAAAGTGGTAAATTATTAACTATTTCAGACTGTTTCAGAGAAATACAGAGAGTAGACAGCAGTATGTGTTGAGATTAGCTTAGGTGTGAGTTGCTCATTAACATTTCTTTTGTTTCCAGGGTGGGAAGGTGTCTGGTGGAGAGAGTCATTAAGGTCACCTGGCAGGGGGTCTTCAGGAGGAATTTGAGGTGTGAATGGTCATTAACATATCTTTTGTTTCCAATGGTGGGAGAGATCTGAGGTGTGAATTGGTCATTACAATGTGTGACAAGCTTGGTAGGAACATCCTGTGTTCAGTGTTTTGTCCATTTGAGTACCATGAAAATGCTTTGCATGCATTTTTCATGATGAAACAAGGCTCTGGACAGCATCGGGTTAAAAAAAAAATTCACACGCAAACGAATTGCCGCGTTTAGCCGCGTTTGCAAGCATTTTGCGTTTGAAACGCTAATAAAATCTACTGCTGAACGCAAGTTTTCTGCGTTCTCAAATGCATGTAAACGACTGTAAACGAAGATGTGTACATGGACACATAGGAAAACATTAGGATGAGTTCAGGGGCTGCTGAAAAAAATAATATGCTGAACAGCTCCTAAACGTGAGTTTATCAGCTGCAGTGTACATGAGCCCTTACCCTTCTTTGTCAGATTGCAAGTCTGTGTTATAGCTAAGATCATGTATGTCTTGCGTTCACTGACATACCAACTTAATTTATAAAGTAATGTGGTTTTCGGTTATACTTTACTCATATATATGTATATATATATATATATGTATGTGACTTGCTGATATATCCCATACACAGGAATAAGGTCATCCTGAAGCTAATTGAGATGAGCCAAGAAAAGGAAAACCATAAAACCATAGTAATTCTACCTTCATGCTGAGGAAGTGGTATTCACAAATGTTTCTAGATCCCCATGACAATAGACGATATCACCATTAAAGCCCACTTTGAGCAGTGGAAACCTCAAATACTTGCACAGCATATTAACTTAACTTGTTTGAGTTCCCATTAAATGGGTAGACAGCGATTTACATAACATGGACTGTTTTATAGACCAAATAAATATCTTCCAGTTTCAAACTACAGCTTTATACTGTATACAAAAAATATTCCATATATCTGACTAGGGTAATTGAGCCGTTACATGGGTCAATACAAACATATTTGATCTTTTTTTCAACTGCCTGAAGCAGCCAGTCAGTTTTCAGACTGCCATTTTGCAGGGCTTCAGTCTCATTGGAGTTGCTCTTGAGTGTCTCAGCCACTTATTCCCTCAGACCATCACTTTACTTCCACTTCACAATTATGTGCCACTTTGTGTTGGTCTATCACATAAAATCCCAATAAAATACATTTTCGTTTTTGGTTGTAACATGACAAAATGTGGAGAATTTCAAGGGGTATGAATACTTTTTCAAGGCACTGTATATAGCAAAAGACAAGACATTTCAAATCAATTTAAAACCATGTAGTGGAATGACCCAAACACAGGGCCCGGTGTCACCTCATAATTAAGGCAGATATAAGAAGAAGGGAGAACAATAGTCCAAAAATCTACAAACTTTATAAAATTGAGGAAGTTCTAATAACCTGGGATATGAAATACAACCCACATTTCTGTGTTCAGTATCGTTATGATTAGCAATATCTGGTGTCTTCCTTCATATTAAATTTAAATTTAAGCTCTCTTGTCTGAAAAAGAAAATAGTGGTATTCCAGTCAAATACTAACTATACGTAAGCCTACTCCCACCCATTCTAAGCCTATTGTAACTACTGTGTAAAAGAAAGATGTCTATACTTTCCTATTCTGAGGGCGCTCCGGTCAATCGGCTCCCAGCAGCAGCTTCAGTGTAGTGGATGCCCCAATGTAAGCCTATGGGTGATGTCAGCTCCTAGGCTTTGCAGCCGGTGTTGGTTTATCACTAAAGCCAGCTGCTGGGGTGACTGGTCTTCTACTTTAAGGTGAATAAAAGTCACCTCTTGCAGTTGAGCAATCATTATATATTATTTATTGGATGTACATAATGATTTCCTCCTCTGCTCCAAGCAGAATTCTCTGGCACTGCCTCAGGTGTCAGGTGCAGTCAGTATACAGAGCTGTCTGCGTTCGGGAAGCAAAACACAAGCCGCCACACCCATCATATAGATGCTGGTTTAATAAAATTGACAATCATGAAGATAGTCCCCGCCCATTGGACTTCCCTCCTAACACGTTTCACCCAACAGGGCTCTACGTGTTGGATGAAACGCATTAGAGGGAGGTCCCATTGTCCTTACTGGGCAATACAATAGACCCCATAAAATTTGAGTGGGAATCTTTTATCATTGTGGAAGCTTGGTATAGCGGGGATATTATGAGACATTTGCTCTATGACTAAGCCCAAGCAGAGTGAAAAGCACCAGAGAGGCATGGCCAAGATGTGGGGACTGTAGCTGGAGCCTCTATGGTTTACCAGCGAATGTGGCTGATTATGGTGGAATGTGCCCTTTAGCTTGCTGTTGTGGTTGTCTCATGGAGTAAAAATGTGCTCCTGCGGGGGGCTGGCATCCACTGTTGGAACCAATGAAAGGACAATCGGAAGACTTTGAGCAGCGCTGTCTTTTATATATGATCACAATGAGACATTTGCTGTTTGATTTTGAGGTCTTGTATTTTGCTATATACAAAAACTGTGTACCAAATAAAACTGGATATACCGTAGCTAGGTATTTGTGTATTCTTTCCTACCTGCACCTTGTGTTTTTCATCTGAATGACATGTGCATCGTTCATGTAGTTTCTTGATGCCATTTTTTGTCCTGTATACTCAGCTTATAGTAGAGTAAATCTACAGTTTCTGTTTCTCTGTTTCTTTTTCTGTTTGTGTTCAAACATGAGGCATGTTCCATGGCACTGCACAGGTTAATGCATGACTCCTGTCTGCATTGTATGAACTGACACTTCCTGTGAAAAAACTATATATCCCACAATCCCTAGTCATTAGAATTGACACAGACACAAATAGGCAGAAAAATTAACAAAGAGGTCACCTTGCAGTTTTTTTTATCACATTAGCACTCCCACATTTGTGATGCAAATGTGGCAGGGCATGGATTGGATGCTGGGTGAGCCTTTAGTTAATAGGGACAAGCTAGGTGATTGAATACATGGACAAAGGGGAATCAATCAGCCACGATACTACAAACTGCCGCCACAACATGAGCCCATCAATACAAGGTAAAGGTAAACAAACAACACAGGAAATATACACTCATCAGCCACTTAATTAGGTACACCTTGCTACTACCCCCTTTTGCCTTCAGAATTGCCTTAATTCTTCGTGGCCTAGATTCAACAAGGGGTTGGAAACATTCCTCAGAGATTTTGACATGATAGCATCATGCAGTTGCTGCAGATTTGTCGGCTGCACATCCATGGTGCGAATCTCCCATTCCACCACATCCCAAAGGTGCTCTATTGGATTGAGATCTGGTGGCTGTGGAGGCCATTAGAGTACAGTGAACTCATTTCATGATCAAGAAACCAGTTTGAGATGATTTGAGCTTTGTGACATGGTGCATTATCCTGCTGGAAGTAGCCATTAGAAGATGGGTACACTGTAGTCATAAAGAAATGGACATGGTCAGCAACAATACTCAGGTAGGCCATGGCATTTAAATGATGCTCAATTCTTACTAAGTGTGCCAAGAAAATATCCCCCACACCATTTATACCACCACCACCAGCCTGAACCATTGATACAAGGCAGGATGGAGCCATGCTTTCATGTTGTTTACACCAAATTCTGACCCTACCACCTGAATGTCACAGCTGAAATCAAGACTCATCAGGCCAGGCAACATTTCTGCAATTTTCCAATTTTGGTGAGCCTGGGCAAATTGTAGCCTCCGTTTCCTGTTCTTAGCTGACAGAAGTGGCATTCGGTGTGATCTTCTGCTTCTGTAGCCCATCTGCTTCAAGGTTTGACATGTTGTGCATTCAGAGATGGTATTCTGCATATCTTGGTTGTAAATAGCGGTTATTTGAGCTACTGTTGCCTTTCTATAATCTCAAACCAGTCTGCCCATTCTCCTCTGACCTCTCACATCAACAAGGCATTTTCGTTCACACAACTGCTGCTCACTAGATATCTTCTCTTTTTTGGACCATTCTCTGTAAACCCTAGAGATGGTTCTGCGTGAAAATCCCAGTAGATCAGCAATCTTTGAAACACTCTAGACTGTCTTCTACCAACAATCATGCCACATTCAAAGTCACTTAAATTCCCATTTCTTGCCCATTCTGATGCTCGGTTTGAACTTCAGCAAGTCATCTTCACCATGTCTAGATGCCTAAAAGCACTGAGTTGCTGCCATGTGATTGGCTGATTATCAATTTGTGTTACTGAGCAATTGAACAGGTGTACCTAATAAAGTGGCCAGTGAGTGTAAATACACTAATACTGAGTTAAAACAACATAAACAATTGAAATTGTACAATACCTTTAAAATAAGAACACGTGAACCAGAAAAGATAACTGATACTTAGAGGACACACCTGCGAAACCCTTCAGCTGCATTACTGATAATAGAATTTTGGTCTACAAAGATGCTTCCTCACGACTTTACAGATAAATGAACATATGTTGATGCATGCTTCACGTAAAAGATTGTTGCTCAAGCAATAATGTAACTGAAATAAAAATACTTGTGCTAATCCACTTTTTCATTTCAACACAGAAAATATTAGCTGTCGGTAACTAACAACTGAAATGTAATAACCCAGTAAAGAAAGTAATAATCATTTTCTGGCTTTTTGATGAATATTTATTTTTTCAAATATTGCTAACAAATCTTGTGGAAATGACTCAGATGCACATATCAAATAACATCCTATAAATTTTCTATGCATATACTTTAGTATTCAAAAAACAGGATGACATATAATAACTATGCTTTGCTTAAAGTGATATTAAACCTAAAAACAAAAATGTATTAGGCCTGATGTACACAGGACGTTAAAAAAAAACTTTCCTAGAAGCCGTCCTCCTGGCAGCAGCGTTTTTGCAGAAAAAAACGCCTGACGATTGTTAAAGTATATAACTCTTTTACAAACGTTTAGGCGTGTTTACAAGCGTCAAGTGCTTGGGCGTTAATTCATTTAATTGGCCAGAATGATCATTTATTCTGGCCATTGAAATGAATTAATGCTCAAGCGCTAAATGCGACTAGTGTTTAGTCGCATTTAGCCACGTCAAGTGTTCTTTCAGCCAAACCGCTGCTGCTCCTAGACGCACTGGACCTGGGTTTTTTTTCTCCTGCTGGTAAACGCTACTGCTACTAAAAGCTTCTGAAAGTCTATGTGTGTGTTGACACATAGGATAACATGGAGGGCCGTTTGGAAGCAGTAAAATAATAAACGCCTGATGCCCGTAAAAGTGGCTGCAAAAACGCTCTGTGTGCATGAGGCCTTGTACTGCAGCTTACCAGTCCTTAGATGTGATGTCTACATTAGTTTTGTTTTTAAACTTTTTTTCCTTTATGTTCACCTTTCAGTCTGGTCAGTAATTCTGTTATTTTTACCTTCTTTTAACAGACCAGGCTGTCCAGCTAAACTGTCAGAGGGTTGAAACAAACCATTTAAAATGGACAGGGATGCTTACAATGGTCACCTTTTATTCATTTATGTAAAACTTTTATCCCAAAAGGAAAAGAACTGTTTACAGTAACTATAAGACATAAATTCAGTTCAGCAGATGACATGTATCAACCTTGTTGGCCTTATGCAGGCTATAGATGGGTCGAAAATTGGCCGATTTTCGCACTGTTAGTGGGTTAATTGGTCGGCTGTTTTTTCGGGATTTTGGCACATTTATTGGAAAAAAATCAGCCGATTTTGCTGATCGGCCCGATTTTCCCAGCAATGATAGGCAAATCGGCTGATCTTTTTACCGATAAAAAAATCTGCGCATGAGCCGTGACCTGCAAGAAGAAGAAAAAGAAGAAGAAAAAGAAGAAGAAAAAAAAAGAAGAAGAATAAGAATTCCAGGCCACTATTATATTTGACATGAAAAAGTCTTGTAGTTGGAACAATGTATCTATTTGTATCCGAATAAAAACATCTGTATCCGAATAGAAATGGATACATTGTTGCAACCGCAAGACTTTTTTTCATGTCAAATATAATAGCGGAGCCCTCTGCAGGGACAGAAGTAATTAAATGCCATAGACAGGCCGAAAATCGCCTGTTTTTTTTTTTACCATTGGTAGTAACGTCGGCCTATTGAACGACCGATTTTTCGTTGTTTTTTTTTTTTTAAAACTGCCGGTTTTCGACCTGTCTATGGCCTGCATTATTTATAAGGCCAACAAAGCTGAAACACGTCAACTACTGTACTGAATTTATGTTTCTTGCGGAGAATCAAAAAATTCAAGAATTTGAAGAGCATATACGGAGTTGCGGGTCATTTTCCTACATGATTATGCTCACAGCCATGTGACCGTCTATCATGAATCCGTCAGACCAGAAGGATTGGGATGCACCTACTGATGTGTTCACAGTAACTGCCTAAAAGTGTTAGCCTGATTTTAGCTTTCATTTTGGTAGTCAAGTGCATGTAAATCTGCTAGAGCATCTAACATTACCCTCCTCCCAGATTGCCTATGATGCTGTCATACTGGCCAGATCACCAGGTGAAAAATAAAGGGAAAAAAGCTTAAGGGCCAGTGCACACCATAGAAACACAGTCCAGATGCGTTCCAAATGTTTTTCTGCATGCATGTTTTTGATGTTTTTTTGGCGGGTTTATGATGCGTTTTGACGCATTCCGGTGCATTTTTTATGCTTTCTGGTTAATTTTCCCCTCTTTTTCAACATAACTAGGGACATGTGCATTTCAGTGCATTTTTGGTGCATTCTGGTGCGTTTGTGCTGCATGTTACCGCATTCCAGTACAGTTCTGTGCAGGAAAAATACAACTTGTTCTACTTTTTTTTTCTGCAACCGAAACGCACTGGATCTACAAGCACTGATGTGAACTAGGACATTGACAACCATATAACCTACTTTCTGTGCATTTTGGTTGCAGAAAAAAGCACACTGAAATGCCTGTAGTGTGAACTGGCCCTAAAAAAAAAAGAAAATGACTGCAGCCACCATATTTAAGGATTGCTAAGCTACAACATATTGTTTTGGGTTTAAAATTGCTTTAACATTATGTATAAATGACCATAAACCCCTAAATCTTGCTGGTATATAACAAATGGTCACTGGTATGGCAGTGCTTTACTTTGTGTTGATGGAGGAGCCCTTTTCTTTTTGTGTGACATGACAGATAGAAGATTACTTGCTTCTGTGTGTGTTCAGAGGTCTAGGATTTGGCTGTGGAGCCCTTGTCATGCAGACTGCGGCTTCCTCACTCCAGCACATGGCTGAGAAGACCTCATATCTAACACAGAAGCTTGAACCCCCTTATTCTATTAGTGATGGCTGTGTCTTTGTAACTTTGAGGCAATTCTGCTTCTGAATTACTGCTTCTGCTCACATAACGCTGCAGCGCTCTCTATGCAGTGCCCCCTGCAGGCAGATGCTGGGAGTTTTGCTTCTGCTTCTTGCAGTGGTGCTGATGAGAAGTTCCTTGAAGAGTAAAAGGATGTGCCAGTTATTGCGAGCCGAACACTCCAGGTATCCACATTTCCAATTCTTCTTCACCAGCACAGAGAGAACATGCCGTGGGGCGAATCGAAGCTTCTGCTTATCTCTCTTGTTTCCAACCACAACAACCACTGGGGGTTTACTTGTGCTACAGCAAATGACATGCAGAAAACAGTGTGAGATATTTGCTCTGACAGACACCAACTGAGAGGCAAAGGACAATATGCATTATAGATGTGTTGTGATTAGAAGTTGTACTGTTTAAGGTAAGAGATATCATCAATAAACCTAAGCCGAGGGATCAAAGCAAATTAACGCATTTGCTATATGCCAATCATTTGTCTTCAGTATGTACCAATATTTTTTGCTTACTGCAGAAGGAAATTACAACACATATGTTTTTGTCTTCTTTCCAGTTACGTACACACAGAAACACACGCTAACATTATTATTTTAACACCTTGGGGTGTATTTATAAAATGTTTGCATAGCAATTCACCCAGTGAAAGCGTGTTTACATATGTTCTCTGAAAATGAGGGAAAAAATGAATGTTATTAGGCTATTTCCTGTGCTAGTTGAATGTTTTTCCTTGATTTAAACCAGAAAATACTGTACATGACCACTAGATGGTGCTAAGTGTAATAGAAATTTAGTATGATACTTAAGGCTAACTAGTGTCCAAGGCAGTATTTTCCACTTTAAATCAATGAAAACATTTGACCAACACGGAAAATAACCTAATAATATTTGTTTTTTCCCATTCGCACATAATAGATGTACATACACTTTCACTGGCTGGATTGCTATACAAATCATTTTATAAATATATCCCCTTTTGTATGATATAGGCATAATAATGGTCACAGATGGGCTCTGACTCGTAAAACTTACAAATGCATAAACCTGAGACTTCCCATTCAGATAATAAATACAAGTTTCTTTAACCATAGACAAGCACATTATGTATAATATACAATATGTAATGTCCAATAAGAAAGTAGTTTTTGTCTAAGCCAATCCTTTATTTCTGCTAACAGCTATATATTCCATTACTTAACACTCTGAATATAACTCATGGGCCAGCATGTCATGACATTGTAGTTGATATGTTAATGGGGGTGACATAACCACTCTTCAGATAAAAATCTACATGTAATTATTAATGGAAAAAAGGACTGCCAGCATATACACAACTGAGAATCAGATGGCTGTTTTTCAAATATTTCTTAGTCAAACCAATCCTAGGTGAGTTACAGCCATACCCTGACCTTTATGTGGATATTTAGATTGCAGATTCGGGCAGCACAGTGGCTAAGTGGTTAGCACTTCCGCTTAGCAGCACTAAGGTCATCAGTTTGAATCCCAACCATGACACTACCTGCCTGGAGTTTGCACATTCTCCCTGTGCCTGTGTGGGTTTCCTCTGGGTGCTCTGGTTTCCTACCATACTCCCAAAGACATGCTGGTAGGTTAATTGACTCCTGTCTAAATTGGCCCTAGTATGTGTATGTATGAATGTGAGTTAGGGACCTTAGATTGTGCGCTCTTTGAGGACAGGGACTGATACGAATGTATAATAAATAAGTAATGTGCTGTGCAAATTGACAGTGCTATATAAGTACCTGTAATAAATAAATAAATAAATTGTAGGTGCAGTTCCTTAAGCTATAATAAACATTCTTTGGCATGACAATTATAATAAAAACAAAAATCACAATCTGAAAAAAAAACATTGTTATGGTGTATGATACATACACTACAGCATTTCGGGTTTGTATTAACTGATGGAGTGTCACAGCTATCCCACTGATCTTCCATATTATATATTGTGACAGTGCTGTGCCTTGTTAGTGTCAGAAGGGTTAGATGTCACCTAGATGTCACTGGTGGAAGGACTCCAGAATGTCTGTTCTGAGCAGGGAAAACTGGTTTTCAGTTTTCTCTAGAATTGGTAACTACAGAATTGGGTTCTAAAGCCCTGAGGCTTTGGAGAAACTTGGGAGGAATGAATGCTCTAACCCTGGGTCCACATTTTACTGGAAGCTAGCCTCCTAATTGTGCAGGTATGTACAGATTTTTAGTATAGGTTCTGTCTATGGCTCAGGGCTCCTTCCCTAGTGACAAGCTGCTTCATGACCTTGGGCAAGTGTCTGTTCTGTCGCCTAATGGAGGTATTAAGAGACAGTTGGGTAGATTTACTAAAACTGGTTCACTCAAAATCTGGTGTGCCTGTGCATAGTAGACAATCAGCTTCTAACCTCAGCTTGTTTAACCACTTGCTCTCCAGAGGATTTACCTCCCTTCCTGACCAGGCCATTTTTTTGCTTTACGGTGCTGCGTTACTCTGACAATTGCGCATGTCATGTTTCACATGACTGTCATATGCCTTTAAGTGTTCTTTGCATTTTGTCTCTGCTCCTCCCTTTCCTTTGGTTTAGTTCTTGCTGTATAGATAGCCCACCCCTTTTCCCAGAAATGCATTTCAGCTTCATGCCTCATGTCTTATGAAAGCAGATCGCATTATGATCTTTTGACCTATCTGATGTTCATTGTTGTAAGATTCTTTCATTTTATGGAATAAACTTCACAAGATCTACAAGGTGTCATCTGATCAAGTCACTATCTTAGTTATTCAACTAAGATTGGAGTAATCGCTATCTCATCACAACTGTAAGTTACAGAGATCACACTTTCAATGCTTAGATTGGAGAGACAGAACAGAGCGGTCATGCAACGCCACACCCAAATGAATTTTCCATCCTTTTTTTTTTCCCACGAATTGAGTTTTTTTTCAGTGATATTTGATCACATGTGCGTGTTTATTTTTTGTGCTATAAGCAAAAAAGAGACCAACTATTTTGAGAAAAAACAATATTTTGGACTTTGCTATTAAACATGTTCAGTAAAAAAATTTTAAAAATCAAATTTCGTCATAAATTTAGGCCAAAATGTATTCTGCTACATGTCTTTGGATAAAAAATCCCAATACGTGTAAATTAATTGGTTTACATGAAAATTATAGCATTTACAAATGGCGGTATAGATACTGGAATTTTTTTTTCCTACTAGTAATGACGGCGATCAGCAGCTTTTAGCAGGACTGTGGCCGGCATTCTGACACTGGGGGGAACTAACTTGGTGTCACTGACATCCCCAGTGACACCAATTCAGTGATCAGTGCTAAAAAAACAACATTGACACTATACTAATGACACTGGACAGGAAGGGGTTAATGTGAGGGGCGATCAAAGGGTTAACTGTGTGTAGGGAATGTTTTACAAGGGGGCAGGGGGGGGTGTGCTTCACTGCAAGCACACTAATCGGGATGGCTTTGAAGTGGGATTGACGGTAATCACGGGACTCTGGCGGGCAATCAATGGCTGTGACCCGGTGATTGACATCCGCGGCCGCGAATGGTGGCGTGGGCAGGGCTCGCGCGTGCCCCCTACCCGGTAATGCGAAATCACATATATATATAATATATATATATATATATACACACACGTGATTTTGCGCACCCGTGCTACCGGGTAGCAGTATATCTGCTATACAGCGGCGGGTAAGCGATTAATTAAGCTTTGGCAATAAAACCTGGAAACTAATTGGTTTCTGTGCTGAAGTGCACCTAATTTTGCACTCTTCAGCTTTAGAAAATAAACCCTTGTGTGTAACTAGGCTGGAGCCTGTGAAGCCGCAAGTTGGCCAGTTTGTCACAAGTGAGATGAAAAAGTAATGCAGGCCATACATGGGTCAAATTCCGAACAAATTTTCTTTAGAAAATTGGACATTTTGTGCATTTTGTAATCCGATGGTGCCATCGTTGATTTCAAAATTCGAACAACTAAGCTTTCAATTTCACCTCATGTTGCTACAGAAAAGAATTTTCGTGGCCAAGAATTTTCTTTTCTTTCAAAGGTCACAGCTCGTGCTCATTTCTTTTTCAATTACATCTCTCACACGATTGATGGGAAATTAATTTGTTTTTCAAAAAATTTCCAACATGCCCGATCACTCAAATTTGATGGTCGCTCGAAAATTGACCATTGCTGTGGCCCACTAAAGTGTGAAATTCAAATGAAAATTCTTAGAAAAGATTTTCAAAAGAAAATTCTTTCGGAAGTCGACTCTTGTATGGCTGGCTTAAGTCTGTGCTAATATATATATATATATATATATATATATATATACACAGTATATACAGTATATATATTGTCAAAAGTATTGGAACGCCCGCCTTTACACACACATGAGCTTTAATGGCATCCCAGTCTTAGTCTGTAAGGTTCAATATTGAGTTGGCCCACCCTTTGCAGCTATAACAGCTTCAACTCTTCTGGGAAGGCTGTTCACAAGGTTTAGGAGTGTGTCTATGGGAATGTTTGACCGTTCTTCCAGAAGCACATTTGTGAGGTAAGGCACTGATGTCGGACGAGAAGGCCTGGCTGACAGTCTCTGCTCTAATTCATCCCAAAGGTGTTCTATCTGGTTGAAGTCAGGACTCTGCATAGGCCAGTCAAGGACAAGATTGTAGACCTACACAGGGTTGTACTGGGCTACAAAACTATCGCCAAACAGCTTGGTGAGAAGGTGACAACAGTTGGTGCAATCTTTTGCAAATGGAAGAAACACAAAACAACTGTCAGTCTCCCTAGGCCTGGTGCACCATGCAAGATCTCACCTCGTGGTGCGGGTGAGGAATCAGCCCAGAACTACATGTGAGGAACTTGTCAATGATCTCCAGGCAGCTGGGACCACAGTCACCAAGAAAACAATTTGTAACACACTACGCTGACAAGGATTGAAATCCTGCAGCTCCCGCAAGGTCCCTCTGCTCAAGAAAGCACATGTCCAGGCCCATCTGAAGTATGCCACTGAACATCTGAATGATGCAGAGGAGGACTGGTTGAAAGTGTTGTGGTCAGATGAGACCAAAATCGAGCTCTTTGGCATAAACTCAACTCGCCGTGTTTGGAGTAGGAGGAATGCTGCCTATGACCCCAAGAAAACCATCCCAACTGTCAAACATGGTGGTGGAAACATTCTACTTTGGGGGTGATTTCTGCTAAGGAGACAGGACAACTGCACCACATCAAAGGAATGATGGATGTACCGTCAAATTTTGGGTGAGAACCTTCTTCCCCTAGCCAGGGCATTGAAAATGGGTCATGGATGGATGTTTCAGCATGACAATGACCCAAAACACACACACGGCCAAGGCAACAAAGGAGTGGCTCAAGAAGAAGCAAATGAATGTCCTGGAGTGGCCTAGCCAGTCTCCAGACCTTAATCCGATTGAAAATCTGTGGAGGGAGCTGAAAGTTCGAGTTACCAAACGTCAGCCACCAAACCTTAATGACTTGGAGAAGATCTGCCAAGAGGAGTGGGCCAAAATCCCTCCTGAGATGTGTGGAAACCTGGTGGCCAACTAGAGGAAATGTCTGACCTCTGTGATTGCCAACAAGGGATTTGCCACCAAGTACTAAGTCATGTTTTGTGAAGAGGATCAAATACTTATTTCCCTCATGAACATGCAAATCAGTGCATAATTTGTTAGACATGCATTTCTTTTTCAATTTTTTGTTGCTATTCTGTCTGTCAGTGTTACAATACACCTACCATTCCATTTTTAGACGGATCATTTCTTTGTTAGTGGGCAAACATTCAAAATCAGCAGGGGATCAAATACTTATTTCTTTCACTGTACATCAAAATATATTTGTTAGCTATGCAAGCTTAGCTATGAAGGAGGTGGCTGATTCAAAAGGCATCTTGTCTCGGCTGTGAACACTTTCCACAGATAAGCAGCAGCAGGAATGCACAGGAAGGAGGGATGTGTCAGGCTCTGCATTCCTCTTGCTGTTGCTTGTCTCCAGAAACTGGAAGGGGAGGGGCTATATCTCAGTATGATGTGAGCAGATAAGTGGGAGACTGGGAATAAGAAAGGGAGTGCACCAGAGAGGGGCTCTTCATGCCCCATAGGCAGGTCAGGAGAGTGGAAGGGAGGGGGTGGAGGTTGAATGGTTGGTAGAGTTGAGGGTAAGGGAATTTTTGGTCTGGTAAAACCAAGTATTAAGGAATTTCGGTAAGTGTCATTAAATTAGCTTGTCAGGCTTTTCATACACCTGATGTCCTCTACCTGTCGGATCCATTTCTATTCCAACATAGGTGTAGAGGATTTCCACAATGATGAGATGCATAAGTGGTCTGTGTTAACATGACTTTTTTCTGGATTCCAAGTTATAGTGTAGGAAGAAAAATGCTGGCATTTTCAGGGTCTTCCGGTTGGTGAATATTTTAACAATCTCATGGACCGAAAATTAAAAGGCTTGTAAGGCTGAACAGGAGCAGAAAATATGTAACAGGTCCCACAGCTCTTGCCTACATCTCCAGTAGGTCTCAGGAATGGCGGGATAAATGGCATTGAGGGTTGTAGGAGTACAAAACCATATACATGTAGGGATTTGCTGCCCTCTCCTGTTATCTGCTAATGGTGTTATGTATAATTATATATTAGCACTTCCTGTCTCTGGGGGAATGGCTTATAACACTCAGAAAGAGGATGTAGAGAAAGAAGAGCTGACACCACATCCACATACAGGAGCTGCATTTGCATTACTGCAATACTGTATTTTATCCAGGCCAGAATCAAAGACTGTTAGTTAATTGTTCTGGCTGTTTAACTATAGCTTCCCATAACTTCTTGATCTGAATCCTAGTAACAGACAAGTCTCTGCCCTTTTGTTATTATCTCACATGCACAGTGCCAGATAGCAAGGTCTGTGCCACTGTATGTATGTATGTATGTATGTATGTATATATGTATATATGTATGTATGTATGTATGTATGTAGTGGTCACCTTCCAGGATATTAGTAGGTAAACCTGTTTATTGCAATAAAGTTTATATGCAGCTCCTGTTATTTTAGTTAACCCTGTTCCTACTGGTCTGGGATTCTATAGCTAGTTTTAGCTTAGGGCATCGCTAACCAGCAGAGGCTAGAGCCACCTTTCTCAACCAGGATTCCCAGGCACCCTGGGGTGCCTTGAGGTTTCTTCAGGGGTGCCTTGGCAAAATGTCTAAAAATTACCCAAAACCCAAGCCAGCAGGTGGAACAAGCCTGCCTTTTAGTTACACAAAGTCACAGGTTTTCATTGTGCATCATTGCAACCTTCTAGCCGCCGGCGTCCTGACAACCAATTACATCATCAGTTGATAAGGAGGATGTCAGCTGCCTGCACAGCATCCTAGTTTGCCCCTCCCCTGCCCCTCCCCATCATTGCTGGGGTCACATTAGCTCAGTGATGGAGAAAAACAGCCAGAAGAGAAACACTGGAATAGTAGTCAGTAGCAGTGTGCAAAAGTGTATTTGCTTTGAAAGAATAAATCCCCTCTAACGTTGGGAGTCCTACATGTGTGGATGTTGCTGCATTGTATAAGCTATTAGAATAGTTTTTCACATTTTAGAATGGGGTGCCTCAAGAATGTCCATAATTTTAAAGGGTGCCTTGGGTCTGTTCATAATTTTAAAGGGTGCCTTGACTGAAAAAAGGTTGATAAACACTGGGCTAGAGCCATGTTAGGCATCCGATGACCACTTCTGTGCTATCCAGTGCCACAAAACAGTTTCTGCCTGTGAGAAGCTATGTTCCAGACTGGCTGGACAAAACTTGGAGGATCTCTCCATCACCGCTGACCTTATCTTCAGGTCTCCAACACAAAGATGGACACTGCATTGTGATCATCCTCAGGGGCCCCTGCAACTAAACTTTGCTGCAACATTCATCTGAATACCCGGGTATATGTGCACAATTCCACCAGGACTCCTATCGGACCCTTTGCTGAGAATACCTGTTTTTACTTTGGATGTATCTTTTTTATATAACAGCTGTATTATTTCCATACTGGTGTGCATCTATATGCTTATGGTTACTGTTATATGCTGGTTGCAGTATTTCCTCTGCTCCTAATTACTGTGATTAGATTACTGTTAATTTCCCAGGAAGGGAATGTCCTCTGTTCAAAGAGGCCCTGTCCTGGGAGGAGGTACTGCCAACTTTATTATAAAACCGACTCTTCCACCTAATGAAAATTTTGATTCTCTTATTTACCTACAGGATGAATGCACATTCTTGTTTGGGGAGGGTCATTTCTCATAACCCTTACCAAAAGAAGGCTACATATGTAACAAGTTTGTAACCTGATTCCTGGTATTTGTTATTTATGGAAGATTTGTAAGACAACATTTGGTTTAGAGCACCAGACAAAATTGTTCAAAGATTTAAATTGTTCAAAGGAGATTTAATGGGTTTAAAAGGTATGTGATTCAGAGTTGTCTAAAGGAAGTAGGGTATGCAGGGTAAGATATTTTGTTGCACCTCCCCATTTAGTATCTCCCACCCAGTATATATGCTTTTATCTGGAGGGTGGTAGTGTTACATTTGTCTTATAGCTTTAACATGGTTATAATCTCTAACAACTTTATAATTTCCAGTAAAGTGGTATGGAAAATTATATGACCCAAAACAATGATGGTACTGTCCATTTGGAAGGTAGCCATACTGCGGGACTCTGGAATGTATTACTGCCAGTAAAGAGAAAACTATTGATTACCAGTATCTCATAAAATTATTTTTTTTTTTTATAAAGCAAACTGCACAATATAACTTTTTGAATTTTTATGTGTGCATACATTTTCTTTAAAAATTTCCAATATCCTTGTATGGATTTTGCACTATACATTTTGTATTAATAAAATGTAGATGACACTTTCACCCAGAATCCATTAAAACTTTGGAATATTAGTGAGATCCTGACCTGTCCAAGATTTGCTGCCTCAGCTGTTTTACATGGTGGAAACTCTCAGGGCTGCAGATGTCAAACACCAAAATGAAGACTCTGCTGTTACGGAGCCCCCGAAAACGTGGATCCATCCACTCCTGTGGGACATAAATAAAAAGACAGGATAAGGTATGTCAATGCAACATGTTCACTGCTAAAAAACATTTGTGACATCTAAATCAAAGAGGACTTAGTGTACATAAAGGAAAATGGCTTCCATTCTTGGACATTGCAGTAATCATCATCCCTATGCAATATATAGACCATATACATCAAAATATCTTATCAAATCAATGGGAGTGTCCTGATTCAGATCACTAAACTGCTAGTGCCAAATCTGATTCCTCTCCCTGTCCTGGCTGACATTTAGAAGCAGAGCACCTGTACTAAAAAGACAGCAGCAAACTGAAACATGTACCTGCTCTGGGCACTGCATCAGTGCTGACTGGCTCCTTCTGATACTTCCCCCTTTCCCAGTCTAAGCTCTTCTGTACAGAAATTGCACTGGGGAATCCAGCTGTATTTCAGGTAAATCCCCAAATTTTCAATACTTTCCTTCCAAAGAGACAATGCTACTTCACATTGTCAGGAGGAGCCACATGTATTAACTGCCCCCCAACTGGAATTGTAAATGTGCCCCAAGAGCTTTATAAGACTATTCCTGTAACAGCTGGCTAATACTGCAACTTGCTGGGTAGGACACACTACATCAGATTATCAAGAACCCCAGGCTCTCCAGGACAAGGCTGCGAGGAATCTGAATCAGAGATGGTAATTGGCACCTCAGGAACACTTAGAGGTGGTGGTCTAATACAGGTAGTATCGGATTCTGTCTTGGGTGGTGCCAAAGTGTGCTTAGAACCTCTGGGACTGTCCACTCACAGGCTGGGGAGGAACATTTTGCACTTTCTGTTTATTGTTATTAATGGTTTAAAGTTGTTCCATTGATAAAGTAATAACCTGTTATATATTTTCATTGTTAACTCCAGGCATAATTTAAAGCCAAAACTTTGTATTTAGTTTTGAATAGTTTTAAAACCTCAAACAGGTTAATATTGTTATCTCTGTCCCTACTGGTCACATTCTCACCCTCTATAATTGTGTAAGTGAAAAGGAAAATGCTAAATTTTCACCAGAACATGATTAAAAGGGGAAATCTTCCAATTGCGACACTTGTTTTGATGACATATGTCTTGACTTAGAGGAATTTTCCTTACGTTAGAGACAGTTGCTTTCTCGATCCTATGTTTGTCTATGGGACTCCAAAGGGACAGAGATAGCAAAAAAAAAAAAAACAGGAGTAACAACCATTCCCCACACTATCCAAAACAAAAAAAAGTTGGCTTAGATGTATGTTAACCTAACCATTTCAAAAATGACATTTGGCCTGAAATTTCTGTACTTACCTTATGAGCACTGAAAGGTAATGATCTGACACCAAAAAAAAACAGCACATAGTAACGCAACTCTTTGCTCATACACATGCATGCTTGACTGATAAAAACAAGCCCTGATCACACAGTAATTGTATCTTACAACAGCTATCTCATACTTTTAGGCCCTGCTCAAAGCTCAAAAAGGCTCAACAATCAAAATCCCATTCATTTCAGTGGACCCTGTTCATAGCTGAGTGTTTTGTTGCTTGTAACAAAATGTGTGTTGCTCCAAACAGTACATGAGCTATTTTTAGGTAGAATTGAGCGGTTTTATTCCCATAGACGCCAATGAGAATGCCTGAAAACGCTTGATTTGAGTCGTTTCTTTTTAGCCTATGATCTCCTCCCCCTAGTGATTTCCACTGACTAAAAAAAAGCCTGATACTTGAATATGCATGAAATGCCTGTAATACTCTTCTAAAAACATCTGTATACACTTGCAAAAATTCTAAAAAAGAAAAAAAAAGCACATATACAAACGTCTGAAAATCGCTCTGCTCAGGTGTAAATGCAGCCTTAAATATGTTTCTTTTTTGACACATAAAGAGGAACTAAACCCTCCTTTCTTTCACAACCATGGAATTCATCTTAGCCTCTATTTGATCTGCAGCTGTCATGGTGCTACACATGTGATCAGTTATGACACCAGCCATTTGATGGCTTGACACTTCAGTTCAGAGCACAAGCAACTGTGAGAGCACAGGCAAACACATGAGAAGGGATCAGGAACAGGACTGCAGCAAGGAGATGGAACATGGGTACTATGAGTACTACTGAGTACTCCTCCTCAAGGTCCTGATGACAGCTAGGAGCATTATCCACGAGGCTATGAGGACATCTTAAAGAATATATCCAGGCTGGAATAGCTTTCCTTGGATGGTGTATACCCATAGTGGTATTAAAGTGCTGTTTCTTTTGCCATCTGGTAAGGGTATTCAGTCTTTACACTATAGAAGTGGGCACTACTACCAGCACTTTGATTTTTTGGATCACTAGAGTGTTTCACTAGCACGTTTTCTCACGTTGAGCACACGGATCACATATATGGTTACATATGATGTGAAGTGACACATATGTTGTATATTATTGTATATTATTGGTATAAGGATAATACACTATTTTAGCTTCTTTTTTGAGGATCACTTTGAAGTTTGGAGTCTTTTGGGAATGTGTCCGTAGAGAAGACTTGGATTTGCATCTTTAGTGTGTGACTTTAATATTTTTTGGACACAATTATATCGCCTTGGAATTTTGAACACTGCGTTTGTAATATTTTATTCGTTTTTTAATTTAGCTGATTTATTTGATTTATATTGATTTATTATTTTGTGCATAGTTTATGTAGTGTAGTATTTTGTTTTGTTTTGGCAATAGGGTGAGCATATTGATGTATTATCATTTATCATACATGGCATGCCTTGGATGTAACTGTTTTGGAAATCAGTTAAATTGTTGGGTTTTGTTCCACTTTAAATGTACACTATTGTCTAGAAAAATAAGCACTGAGCTTTGTTTACAGTAAAAAGTATATGGTCACAAAGAGAATTTAATGTGCAATGCTTTCAGTTTTTATGGTATCTTCTTACATTTAAATCAATGAATCCCTAGTTGATATGAATGTCCCTTTGGCTCACAATATTGGATATAAAAATTCCATCTGGACTACATTCTTCTGCTATTATAACTAAACATACCTTTAGTCAAATGTGCATAATCCAGAGAACAGGTCATTGGTGACCAAAATGTTGGAAAGGATTTAAATGTGATTAAGTGCAAATATATAAATAAATATATATATATTCATATCATATTTCACTTTACATTTTTTTATTTCCTGGATACAATGGCATAGTAAAAGAATCACAGGTCAGCACTACCACAGTATGTTTCTGAAAGGTTACAGTGTATTTATTTTGGTCTGCAGACATTTTAGCAACAAAGAACCACAGGAAATATTCCATATTCAGTAATTTGGCAGATTCCACATACTAGTTTGGTAACTTGTGAATATAACAAAACCTCATACTGGCCTCACCTGTCCTGCAGATCCAGGGTATCTAGGCAGGTTGGGTAAATCCAGGATGAGCAGCTCATACATCCTCTCGCTGAGCACTGCAGAGGCTCTGTGCAGCTGCCTACTCTCAGTTGGGGTGTATTCCTCCTGGAACTCCTGGGCTACAAATTGCCGGATGATAGAGGTCTTGCCAACCCCAGGTGCTCCTAGCACTGCCACCTGCACTGTCTGCACCATCTTCATACAAGCACACCTGCACCTATCACCTGTTCTTACATCTGCAGCCATGATGAGCAGCTATTGTCTCAGGATCATGAAATCAAGGGGCACCCTCATTCTGACATCTGTAACAGCAAAACAAATGACATTTAGAAAAAAAACAGCAGTAGTACATAGAGGCATATGCCTAAAATCTCATTAAGACAGGTAAAAGAGAATGTACATTTCATAGCCTCTATGGGTAGAACCATTCATGTCCTGAGGATCTGAAATAATGATGGCCATAATATGAGTTTTTAGTAAAATGAGATGATATAATGATATGAAGATACCTCCATTTAGGATTGCTGCATCATCCCTTTAAAACCAAACACATTATTATTTACCCAGGTTCTGTGGCTGATTAAGGTGGTAATTAAACTCACGTAGTGCCTTATCTGCATTAAATTAGTCTCAGAACCTCTGTGTTTGGTTTTAAAGGGATGAGGTGCCAGCCCTACCTTCATTACAGAATAAAAAAAAAAATCATTGTTGTCCCAAGTAAAGAAAAATGGCATTGTGTGCTTGTGCATTGACTGGTCAGACATGGATGACACAATAGAAGTGGTAGCACCATTGCTGTAGCGGCATAAAGGACTAGATTTGAAGTAATAATCAATGGGATCAGCCTTGTAATTTATCACAACGGAGGATGGATGGATGAGGTGCTGGCAGCTGCAGATGGGTTATTAGATGTAGAAGTCATCAGTCAAGGTCATCGCTGCCCTGGTGACCGAAAGCTTTGCCAAGGAATGAGTAAGGGTGCAAACATGATGAAAAACACGAAAAATAGAAGTAACATTTTATCAGCCTTTCATCTCAATACGTCAAGACAAAAAAATAAAAAGATAAATAATGACTCTTTGTATGGATGGGTCTATATTTTGTCTACAGGATTAGTGATGGACACAATACATAGAACCATGTTCTTACCCCCTGTGCCTTTCTGCGCCCAAACTTGACACGCAACCATTAACCTTTAGCACCAGGGACAGCGACAGCACATCCAAGCCAGCATCCTCCTATGAACTGACTGTATACCTTTCCCCTCCTCCCCCTTGTTGTATTCTTGCTGAGCACAGCAGGATTGTGGGGCACGTGCTGCAGAATACAAATAAGCCCCCTCCCCCCTGGTCTAAACTGCGGCATCCTATCATCAACACTTCCTACTGAGAGACACTGATCATTTTCATTCTGCAGATCTGGTCCTCCAACTACTTCACAGTTACCCTTCTAGAGACCACTGCAACTACATTGTAAGAGACCCCTGCTCCAAGCACAAGTCTTCACAATCCCTTCTTAAGTCTACTAGAATAGCACAAGCTTTTATCCAATCTTCCACTATTTAATCTGCAACTATATTTCCTCACCAAAAAATAGAAAACGTAAATGTGGTCAATTATAACTAATAATTTCTATTACAGTTATATTCTACTATATCTCTTGTGGAGTTCTATGGAGACACGTGAGTTTTAATTATATTGATTTCAGTAATAGGTATGGTTGCATTAAAGTGTTACTAAACTCAGGACCCTGCATTCACTATATCTGGTCTCCCACAGTACACAGAACATGGAAGTGCAATTATTTTACTAAATATAAAGTGCTAAATACCTTTTCTCATCAGCAGTATATATAGCAGTTTTGTGACACTATCCGTGTCCAGCAGAGCACTAGTTAATCTTGTAGGAGGAGTTTTCATTCTTCCCTGATCGTCCTATGAGGCTGCATATCCCTGGACCCTCTGTCTGGACAGCGCTGATTGGCCCTGTGCTGATCACATGCACTCTGCCAAGAAAAAAAATAACTGTCCAGCAATACACCAAACTGAGCATGTGCAGCTTGCCCCCAAGGCTCTGTTCTATCAGCAGATAGATTGGGGACAGTAGAAGAAGGGCAGGATCAAAGAAGACAGCATCAAAAAGCCTTTTTGCACAATGCAGAGGATTAACCCCTTAGGTTCCACAGTGAGTATAACAAGCTTGCTTTACTGCATACACAGACTGATTTAACTTCCTGATCACTCACAGCTGACCTCCACTTGCCATGTGCGAGATCCAGACTGTAGGGAGACTTGACCTGTAGCCTCTTGGGTATGTGACATTATCTAGAGAGGCTGTAGGCAGGCAGGGGGGGCAGAGGGGCACTGCAAAAAAAAAGAATTGGTAGCGGCCATCACCAAAAAAAAGGTACTCCCTTCCCCCCAAAAAAGGTGATTGTGTAAGAAGCTAAGGGGGAGGAAGTGGGTAATGATGAATGTAATATTTAGGTGAAGGTCTGCTTCAGTAGCTTTTGTTCCCTTTTAGAATCCATTGCTGCTCCAATGCAGATTTCTTTGAGGGCCATTGTAGAGCCTACAATGTAAAACCATGGTTTTATGCTGGAGGTATAATATTAGCTTTCCTTTAGCTGAAGAAAGGTGACAAGTGACAGCCAGAGCTGTGGCCTCGAGGGAAACATCTAACCTTCCTTGTATCATAATGTGTAAAAATGAACTAATAGCTTCTCGAATAGGTATCAAATATCCACCAAGAAGAAAAAGCACAACAGTGTACATTTGCTAGAATAACTAGTACATCAGGATTTTCGTTCTGGTGTCTGCACTTTTCTAATACCAATTCCAAATATAAACCTAAACTATACTCAGTAAAGCAGATTTAAACTATTCACAGAAGGTGAATCTGACTTCATTTGACATACTACTTTCCAGGACTGGTTAGAAAAGAACCCATAACATGTGATTGTTATAGTCTACTTTCTTTCTGCATTTGTGCTTACTGGGCTCCATAATGTGTGCATATGTTTGCTCATGAATGCATTATAAACAGCTGTTAGTACAAACCAGAACTGAATGAATTCAACAGAGCAGTATAATACATTGCATTGCATCATTATAATACTCTTAAAACGCTGACAGGACACTATAGACTTGCCTTTCTCAACCATTTTACCCCAGAGGAACCCTAGGAGTAATAACTTTCAGGTCTTGAAGAACCCCAGCTAAAATGAATTAATCGGGGTCAGTGGGAAGAATCTCTCTTAAATTGGTGGTAAGTGGGAAGAATTTCCCTTACAATGGTGGTCAGTGGGAAGAATGTCCATTACATTGGTGGTCAGTGGGAAGAATGTCCATTACATTGGTGGTCAGTGGGAAGAATGTCCTTTACACTGGTGGTCAATGGGAAGAATGTCCTTTACATTGGTGGTCAATGGGAAGAATGTCCCTTACAACGGTGGTCAGAGAGAAGAATGTCCTTTGCATTGGTGGCCAGGGAGAAGAATGTCCATTACATTGGTGGTCAGTGGGCAGAATGTCCATTGCATTAATAGGTCCCCTTACAGTGATGATCTGAATGACAGACTTACAGACACCTAAAAAGATTATTGATGTCATGCTGGTGGCTCTGTCAAGTGGTGTTGGACCTGGACCCCATCAGGTGAGAAGTCAGTCAGCCACAGCTAATGGAACCCCTAACAACCTCTTAAGGAGCCCTGGTTGAGAATGGCTGATATAGACTACATATGATGCATACCAACTCATCCAGGTTCTTGATATATATATGGTACGTGGTGGTTGAACAGGAATCGGTGCCCGTGGATACTTGCGCTGTTCTAGATTCGGTTTGCCCCGACTAAGCTCTTCATTGATCTCTTCTTCCATCTGAATGAGCATTGGTGCTGGCATCCCAAATCGTGCCCCACATCGGGCCACCTCAAGCAAGCACAGCACAAAACTCTTCTCCCCTTTCCTCAGTACCAGATCATTAGTTTCAAATACTAGCACCTATGGTATGCCAAGCTCCTTGCGGCACCAGCTAATGAAGTTAGATACATTGCCCCTGGCCATGAATGAACCTGGAATGGCTCCTTTAACCTGGAATGTTACATCCTTTTGTGGCAATCTCATGCCAGAAGCATCTTCTGGATACCGTGGTTTAAAATCTTGTGCCAGCCGATTGAGATTATTAGCATGCTGACAAAGTGTGTACCCGGTCTCCAGTGCGTCCATGAAAGTATCAGCATCCATATCCAGGTCATACAACATATTGAGCCAGTCTGTGAGATCTTCTTTCATGGCTTCAAGGTACTCCTCGCTGGAGCGAAAAGGTTGTATGCTTTTTGAAGCAGATGACTGAATTTGGCTTTGGTCTGCCATTTCTTCTCATTATTCTCCTCATTCATCTGCAGAGAAATTACAAAAAATATATTAGTACCATAGATATATTGTTTATTACAGCATATACAGTAGTTTTACTTTCCAATATTAAAGCTGAACTCTATTTATTCACCTAAAAATTAGGATCGTGGGGCGTTCACCTGACTTGGGGCCTCCCACACTGCAGTTCTAACGTTTCTCTAGAGGTGCCCCAATTTAACTGTTGCCAGACCCCCAGTGCACATTGAGATATCTTGTGCCCCCTCCCAACAGCTCCATTTAGCACTTATGTTGGTAGAGGATTTCAATTCTCTACCTCTTGCCATGATGTGTACTCCTATATTCTTGAAAGTCATTCATGCTTTTGTGCATTGTTTACATCAAATCCTTAAAAAAAATAAAATACATGTATTGAAATGTAATAAATATATAGCTGTATTACTTATTATTTCTAATATTGAACTAGAGTTTTGGATCTGGTGTGGTTAATAAAATCAATAACAATACAACATATGCTCACTAGAATATCTCAGAAACATACTAACCAGCTGAGACAAAAAAAGCCTTATCATATTGTAAACTGTCTTATCATATTATAAACAATCTTCAACAGGTTGCATACACGTGCTGGCTTGTATCATGGGATGGTACAACCATAGACACTAGACTTTTTTTTTAATAAGGCAGTACAATGAGTAATGCTATGCAACGTGAAATGAATCAAAACAGCCTAAATTTCCAATAACTGTCCATAAATGTTTAAACAATGGGTTCTGATTGGCTACTATGGACTGATGCACTCTGTATACTGTGCTCTGTATTTTCAGGTTTATTGGTAAATATAGTCAGATTCACTACAGGCATTGTTGCATGC